GTCTCTAAAGTGCCACAAGTACTCCTGTTCTTCTTTTTGCGGATACAGACTAACACGGCTGCTACTCTGAAACCTGCAGAGATTAAGTCATCTATGGAGCACTTAGCTGCAATGCAGCACAAGGTGCATGAAGGACAAAAGCACTGCTGCTTCCAACAAAGTCAGCACAGCAAAGGAACTGCTGAAGAGAACAGGGGAAAGAGACAAAGACCTGCAACTCCCCCAGTTTAAAAATATTACAAGTGTATTCATTTTAGCAGTAATGAACTGCAAACATGTACTCAGCAAGAGAAGAACCAGGTAAAAGTAAAAGGTTAGGTCATCTTGTCTGTTTCTCGTTCCATCTTCCCGCACATCCCAGCCCAATCCCATCTGCTTTCATAAATCACCTAAAAAACTACAATTATCTTACCCATGATGCTTAGTAAGTTTTGAAAGCACAGTGAAGAGAGCTGCTTCCCCTACCCAAATTATGAGTTTGAGAGAGTCTTAAGGTGTTGCTGAGAATCAGGCTACCCTGCTCTTTTTGTAAGCAAGGAACAGTCAATCAGAAAAACCAAGCTACCCAAGGGGAGGGGACCAGAGAAATCCCCAAATGATTGAGGTTTCCTTTTTGCCTTTGGAATGTTCAGAGAAAGCCAAAAGCTGATTATCCCAGAGCTATAGCCATAGGAGGTACATACTGTAGGCGGGGGAAGGCAATGCCTCCCCAAACCACCCCGCGTGGCCATGCCCACACTCCACCCCGAGGCCTCCTCCTGCTTGCCGCTTGCCCCCAGCCCAGGCAGGTTGCTCCTCTTCTGGGAAGCGGGCTGGAGCGGCCGGCCTGTGGTTGGAACTTGGGGTGGCTGAGGTCCCCTGTGCTGGGGCTCCAGGGCTGAGGGTGATCTCATGAGTTAGGATACACATTTCCATCCCTATTGGTTGGGAGAAGCTCCTGTCTCTCTCCTGGCAGATCATCCCAGACAGAGAATTTGGCAGGCACCTGGCACTCCAGGGCTAGAGGCGCTGGGGCTTCCCACCTTGTGCTCGGGGGCTGGGGGCACTGGAGCTTGGGCTATGGCACCGGTGCTCTGGGGCTGGTGGCCTCGGGCGGGAGCCTCTAGGCTTTGGCGGGAGAAGCAGGGCAGGAGGGGCGGGGGCTCGTGCAGAAGGGGAGGGCCAGTCTGGGGGCTAGCCTCCTTGAGCCTGTGGTTCACCCATCACTAAGGCTAAGATTTACTCACAGGTATTTTTAGTAAAAGTCACGGACAGTAAACAAAAAGTCACAGCCCCTGACATGTCCATGACTTTTACTAAAAATAACCCTAACTAAATCTTAGGTGCTGGAGGTGGGGGCGCTTCCACGGACACTACTGCTCTGGGGGGGACGCTCCAGGAGATGCTGCTGCTCTTTTGGGGGGATGCTCCAGGGCCCTGCCACTGCTGGGGAGGTGCTCTGGGGCCCCACCCCTGCTCCGGGTACACGGCAGCTCCCCAGAGCCCTGCCGCCAGGTCAGCGGCTGGGGGAGCAGCGTCCTGGGGCTCTGTTGCTGTTGCTGCTGGCGGGCGGGGAGGAAATGTGGGAAGGGGCAGCCCGGGGCACCACTTCTGCTTCCGGATTGCTGCTCTGGGGCAGTGCCTGGGACCAACTGCCTGGGGCCACCCAAGCAGCAGCCAGTGTGTCTGGCCCCGAGGGCTGCCCCAGCTGCTCAGGTGGCCCTGGGGTCAGCTGCACGAACTGCTGCAGAACTCCTGGATGTCCGGGAAAGTCATGGACTCCATGACTTCTGTGACCTGAGTGAAAGACTCGCAGACTTACCCATCGCCCATGTCTATAGCTAACGTTGCAGCGTGGCATACACCTACCTGCTTCTTTGTTATACACTCCCTAAAGGGAGTCTCTCTTTTTGCTGAAATCTCAGGGTATCATGCTCTGTAGTGTCTCCCTCACTCTGCCCTCTTCCCCACCCCCACTATCAACAGGTACTTCTCTGCTTCCTAGGATGGTTCTCCTTCTCCAGACTTTGCTGCATGCAGGTCCTTTAGCTTGGGATAGGCACAATTCAGAACCTGATTGTTTAGGAGCAGCTAAGGAGGCATAGCAATAGTGATCTGATGAGTTAGGATACACATTTCCATCCCTATTGGTTGGGAGAAGCTCCTGTCTCTCACCTGGCAGATCATCCCAGACAGAGAATTTGAATTGGCAATTTCTCTGAATTGTGTATGAGCTATAAACTCCGTCTGCTCCTGTCACGCTTCCAGCCTCATTTTAAATCCATAGCACATTTTTAGAACCCTCTCCCCAGCCCAAAGAGGTATTTAAATGCTTCAAGTAAAGGATTAAGAGTCCAAATGAATGATCAAGTAAGGGTTGCTGGAACCTTGAGAAAGGTCTCATATCCGTGAACATTATCCTCTCCCAGTTGCTACAAGAGGGTTCCAGATGATTGGCATCCACACTGCCCCCAGACTTGCTCATTTTCATACCTTTGGCCTCAAGGCAAGGATTGGCTCACCTTGTTGCACGAACACACGTTTTTTATGTCCTAACCACACAATACTGGATTAAAGGGGGGCTGAGGGGACTGCACCCCTCAAGCCTCTGCTTTTCTGGGAGGCCTCCAATCCATCACATATAGACTATATACAAGGGAGATTTCATTATATGTACACTAACCCTAAAAATAAAAGAAAAACAACTAAAAACATAGATGCTCCTTGTTGACACTGATTTTGTTCTTAAGCTTTCAGTTAGAGTTTAATTTTTTTCAGACTTTCAGTTGCTGGCGATGGGGGTGTGAATTGGAAGAGCTAATCGCTGGCTGCTAATTGCAGCACTGCCCAATACTTCTTTAGTATTGTTTTAATTCCCAAGTGGAGCAGCGAAAAGGAAAACTAAGTTAGAAAGAGAGAAAACTGTAAGCAAATTACCAAAACTTACTATTTCTTTGCTAGTACTACTTCAGAATCATCTTCCAAAGAACCTGGACGGTCTTTCTCAGAAATGATAATCAAAGGGAAGATATATACGTGTGAACTTGTTCCCTCAGGAGAGGGCAGAAGAAAAGGCAAGCGTTCTTGAAATCCAGGACAAAAGTGATACTGAAAATGATGACCCATTTTTCCTACCACTGTACAGAAGGCAAAGAGAATAGTAGTGATAAAGAGAATAATGTTGCCATTAGTGTTGAACAATATCCAATTCAATGGCCTGCTTTGATAGCAGAGGAGTTTCACACCCAATGTATTGAGAAAGGTCTGCTCTATCTTCAGAATCACAATGACAAATTTATAGCTTCTGAGCAGCAGTATAAACGTCAGAAAAGATCTCTCTCTTGTCTCTTCTTTTTGAATAAAAGTTACCAAATGGAGCGCATTATCAGAGGCCTGGCTTGATGTATTCTAAATCCACAGGAACGGTATTCTGTTTCATGTGCAAACTCTTTTCCTCGCCTAACAATCTTAGCCCCTTTGTAGCGCCTGGCTTTTCCAACTGGAAAAAAGGAGAGAAGACTTGTTATGAAAACAGTGTAGAACATCATAATGCCATGGTTATTTGACTAGCCAGGTTGCATAGCTAGCCCATTTGCAAGGCAAGAATCACATTGATAGGGAGATGGTATGGCTGCTTCTAACACAAACTGCTTACTTGAAGGAAGTTTTAAGGTGTATTGTGGTAGTTGGTAAGTTTCTCGCTGAACGTGGTTTAGTGTTTAGAGCAGGGGTCTCAAACTCGCGGCCCGTGAGCCATCTGTGGCCCACAAACCTCCCCAATGCGGACCATGGGGCTTCAGCAGTTTTGGGGCCAGGTCTCTCCTTTGGCCCCACCTGCCGCCCTCAGGCGCTTCCCCCGCACAGGCAATTTACAATGGCCCGGGGCTCCGGCAATGCAGCAGAGCTGAACTGCGTCTGCCTGCTTGCTCCAGTGGCTGCCGGCCCCTCCCTGTGGCCCCAGGGCGGGGCTGTGCCTCCCCGTGCTGCCCCTGCCCCAAGCACCCCTGCGGCCAATGGGAAGCTGTGGGGGCAGCAGCACATGGAGGTCTCCTGGCCCGCCCTGCCTTGGAGCCCCAGGTGTGCGCTGCACCTCCTGACCCACTCCCAGAGCCTGCACCCATTCCTCACACACCTCAGCTCCCAAACTCCCTCCCAGAGCCTGCACCCCCCCTTCCCACACACTCCCTCCCACCCCCAAACTCCCTCCCAGAGCCTGCATCCCTCCCCCTCCCAGAGCCTGCAAACCCACCCCCTCCTCCTGCACCCCCATCCCCTGCCCCAGCCCAGAGC